CAGTATGGGCGAACCAAATGGCCGTAACTTTGGTTCGTAGAGGTGCGTGAAAACCCGGTGTTCTAGGAGTGGGGAATAGGTCTATACAAAGTGATGTGTGGGCACGCAGGAGCCTGGCTGTGATATTAACAGCCTCGGGAACCGGTTTTCGATAGTGAATCCAGGGTAGCTGGGGAGCTTGGGAATATAAAGCAATCCCCAGCCTCTCATCGCCAAAAGAAATCAGTCGAACAGCATTGGTTTTTTAACGAGCAACGCTCGGGCCTTCGCCCCCGTTGCTTCTGGACGACATGACTTCACCATAACTGGGGATTGGCGGCGAGACTCTTCGAATTACTGCTTCGCTCTGGCTTCGCGTTCGGGTTTGAACTCTATTGCTGCTAGTGGAGGGTCCAAGTAATCTCCGTCTCTCGTCAACATATCCGCCATCTGTATCATCGCTGCTGTCCTCCTCCTCGCCGCCACTAGTGTACTCAGGAGGGGGTTGCGAAGGGTTGATTGGAGCTAGGCTGATGTCTGTTGGACTCCGAACCGGGCCGGGGCTAGTAGGGGGTAGATTTCGCGGCTGGGACTGGGTGTGCTTGTGCGATTTTTTACTCTTTCGTTTTCCGGACGTAGATCCCGGTGATGGTGGGTGAACGTTCGTTGTCAGTTGTGGGAGGTTCTGAGATGCAATAGCCTGGTGGTGTTGTGCAAATGCTCGGGCATCCATCAAGCTTTCACCCTCACGGACACCGGCTCTACCGCTTTCCAAGAGGATACTTCCAGCTTCATTTCCGTACGGGGGTGGCGGCGCGAGACTTCCGGTCATCGGAGCCAAGCCCCACTTCTTGACATTTGCTTCAATGAAAACGAACCCAAGTTGCCCAAAGTTGATATGTAATTTTGCAGGACCTTTCGCGCCGACTGTTGGGAAGAAATTGTGCGATTTCAATCCGTGACACACGTCATCAAGCTTCTTACCATTGCGTGTGAAGAAAATCGTACCAGTCCTTGGTCGGTACCCGACGCCAATAACGTCGCCCTGTCGGAAAAGGTTGGCATAAGGGGTCGGGTTAAATGGCTGGTTATATCGTCGTGAGCCGTCAGAGAGATAAGCTACGGAGTGTTTATGATAACCGGGAAGTCTGAACATTGGATATGGCTTTGTAGTCATTCCGATGGCGATAAGTGTCGTCTCTGGCTTCTCGAAAATCTTGCACTCCCAGTAGTAGACCTCGTTCTGCTTGGGAACAGGGAGGTTGCTTTGAACGGAACATTCGGTATCATAAAACTCAACCTCAGTACGGGCCTCGACAAAACAGTTGGCAATTTCCAGCTCTGCCTCGAATTCCCAGGCAGATACACCCTTTTCTTGAATTGCAAGGAATTGAGAGAGTGAGATGTCGGTGGGTATAGAATCGGGCGGATTGGCTTCGATAAAAGCTATATTTCAAATATGGTATTAGAAAAACGGTCAAGTTGTTAGAAAAAGGCCAATTTCGTACCTCTTGCCCTCCAATACTCCTGTCGGTCCATTTCATCCATGATCTCTAATGCTTCGGCTTCCTCCCTGAGAAACGCCTGTTCATCATCAAACTCACCCGGTCTGCCCAGTCTATCCAGTAATATTCTCCCTCGGTTCGTGAATCTTAGAAAGTATATTATGGCGATTACCAGTAGCACAAAAGCGGCAGATCCAAAGGCTGAAAGTAATGCGATCAGAACTCCCCGACCGGGGGAGTTATCGGTAGAGTAAGCCATTACGGCCATTAGAACGGAGAACTAAGCCGACGCGACGGCTGTAAACGTCCAATATTATTATTATGGCAGTAATAGATGACGATGATGATGATGATGATGATGATTATAACGAAGAAATCCCAGCGGAAAACGTCGATGGTCGGAAAGGATCGGGTAGGGAAGTGTCGGAGGCAGTCCCAGAGATTGTTGGTCGGCAAGCGATGCGGGGACGCGAGTTCGACCGGTGGCCTCTACCATGTACTCAGAACGTCACAAAAGGGGTAGAAAAGTGTCAAGATTCCGGTACGAAAACTATCAGAGCCGTTGGATCGGTGGTAATGAGAATAACGGCGGGGATGAGGCCGGCGATGGAGGGCGATATGGTTGAAATGGGAGGAGGAAGATGAACGATGAGAGAGGACGGAGGCAAACGAAACGAAGGCGGGAGAAATTTGGAGATGGATCAGGTGTGTGTTGGCAGGCGACGAAGAACTCCACCGCTTCCTTACAATAATACACACCAAAAGACCAGGTCGGGGAACTCGGATAAACGACCTTTTCAGAGCAAAACTGGTAGACGTTTCCGATGTTTAGGCACGCCAGGCGACAGGAACAGAATATATCTCAGCTGCCATCAATCTGTTCTTATTCTTTTCTGTCGGGACCAGCCAGGGCTTAAAAAAACCGAGCGGTATGTATCTGCTAACTAGTCAGGGTGGCGGAGGCGTCGAAGAAGTAAAGAAAATTCAAATACCTGCCCACCAAAACCAGCAAGGAGGCCTGTCCACAGTATGCTGAACGTTTCTGGAAGAAAAGGTGTCGAAGATACACGGCGGATTGTGTCTTATGACGATTGTAAAGAAGGAGAACAGGATTCGGTGTTCAAACAGGGTCTTGCTTCTAGTTAGCTCCTCCGCTCGAACCGAACCCGGCTTACCTGCCTACTTTAATGAGACTTTCTGACGGGTAGGCGCCTCTATGTTGAAACTGTCCCTCACTCGCTGCCAATACCGGCTCTCAAGAATGCGACAGAGTTGAATATTTTCAAAGAATATTGCGGCTGCGATCCGTTGGATTGAATCGAGTCGTGGCCGGTTGGTACTACCTGCATACAACAGAAACATATACTATGCAATGCTGGTTGTTATAGTATCACGTCTCCCGTTGTCCAACATTGATTATCATTTGTGTGTGTGTGCGGGTACGTTTCGTTTCACGGTGGCCTTGTCTTTTTGATTTTCAAACGGCTTGTTCAATTGAGAGAAAGAGAAAGCCAAGATACATGTACTTTACAGACGCTGCTTCTAATTTTGTCACCATTGGCAGAGCACATTTGCATTCTGAGGGGCTGTAGCGGGGCCGGCACGGTGCACTGCGCTTGCTGACATGTCCCCCATGCAAATCATAATCAGTTATCCGTTGTAGCTTCTATATTCAGACCAAAGCGGGTCGCACACCTTCTCCTATACGTTACTCTGTAGATATCCTTATCCGATACTATCTCGTTATTAGTATGCTATCGCAAGAATCTTGTCGCCTGGAAAACTTTTGGGAAAACTTTTAGCAAAGGGAAAACTTTCAAATTCCCAACTCGCCCTGTTTGCTTTCCCCAAATCCGAAAATATGCAATCTCCCCAGGGCAATCTGGAGAATTCCTGATGATGATGCCTCAAAGTTTAACCCTCAGACTGAGACGCCAATCTTGAAACACTAGCGAACAGCCGCAAGTTGCATGTGGTCCCAAAAACAAACCAGCCACTGAATGTTCCAACGTTGGGACAACCGTCTATGCACGTTTTATACTCCTGAATGATATTAATATTGCGATATATGTCCTGCATTATAGATTGCACATTGATGTACCTGTCGAACCCGGTTAATTTCCTTGCAACATGTTGAGTATCGGTGCCGCCGCTAAACTTTTCGACATCCAATACATCTATGGAAGGACCATTGCATGTGTTATATCGAAGTTACTGTAAATTCTATTCATGTGTTAGACAATATAATGCAGTGTTCCAAAGATCGGATAAACAGCTTTCGGATTTGGGTTCATATCTTCAGACTTTCTATGTCATTCAGACTCGAGTATACTAGTATCACTGGAGTCCATTATATTAATCATACAACTGATACTAGACGACAGTACTGCCTGTAGAACATTGGGCTGAGCATGCAGTGCGAACCAAAACACTTCAAACCAATATCCTCGTATATACATATACAATCTATGTGTGTAGCTTTGTGGGCTCGGGGCTGGTGGTTTTGCGCATATCGATCGACAACTCCGCCCTACGCTTACCAGGCATTGGGCATAGGGACAGGTAAACTCGATATTGATATATTGATGTCGATATATCCTCAATTGGGTCGGTCTTACTGAGCAACTGGCCTCGAGGTCTCACAGACGCCCTCACCAAATTGGCTTTGTGTTGCGTAGCAACCACAACCTGCAACAGGTGCAACACAGGGCAGCCACATAGACCTGCGAACTTTGGGCGACTCTCGATAGTATCACTACCATACTCTATACGAGTAGACAGTTTAATAAAACAGGCTGCGGCCTTAAGCCGTTTAATATGTTTTGGCATAGCATAATATCTATTGGGTTTGTAAAAAGATCAAGCCAAATGTCCGGCTCTTTAGCGGGTTTCTGCTTATCGCGGAGAACAATGACCTTCATAGCCTCTCTTGGAATAGGCAAGTATTGTGCCTACTTTTGTACCAGCATTGTAATGATAGTTGATAAGAAGGCAATTGCTTCTAGGAACGCCTTGCTCAAGGTCCTGGAAAGCTTGAGCTCTAAATTTCACCATAGCAAAAGTAATAACGTATCGGATTAGTCTCCCGATCGATATCCATCGCTCATAGGACCCACCAAAGTCGCAATTTTTGACATATAACTACCCAAAAATCGACAGTCAATTGACTGTTTCTACTGACCAGACTGATAGCGAAATATTGCACAATTGATTGCAAAGTCGCCGCACACCAGAAAGAAAAGATATCCCAGCAAAACTACATCACCACACACATGACATAACTCGAATATCCCCACTCCTACCACCATCGAACCGGTCCCAAATCGAAGGCCCAAGTATTTATGAAGTGGTAGACAACACGGTGAGGATCAGCCCACAACGCGCTATCCAGAAATCTTGTTTGGCGAGCTCCCGTTTCCAAAAAAAGTCACCACATGGCCCCGAACTCAAAAAAAATCAGGAAAAATCGAAACTGGATCATCCCGAAAGGTCAGGAATGCAAAAAAGAGCTTGTAGCGCCCTCCGTGAGGCTCGAACTCACGACCTTGGGATGACTGGAGCTTGGGTTCAAGCCTCATAAAAGTCCCACGCTCTTCCGATTGAGCTAGGAGGGCTATTTGATGTTAGTATCGATTTTGTGTAATATTTAATCAATACTAGTGTTTCTTCGGCTTGGGAACTCGCTTACCGTTGCTGAGAACGCCCTCAAGCTTGCTTTGGGCTCAGGGGTGGTTTTGGGAAGGGTGGATGTTGGTTGGATGAATTTGCGATGGCTGTTGTGCGAGTTCGATGTCCGTGTATTGCACACACCTACGCCAAGGCCAGAAATGATCGACAAAAGAAAGAACTAATGCAACGGCATGTATTCTCTGAACTGTATGTATTTGGTACCTAAATATCTAAGTTAAAATAAAATAAAATAAAAAAAATAAAAATTTTTATCAAAAAATGATATGATGCGCATATACACATAATACGGAATGGCCAACAACTCTATTGACCAACGTTCCTGAGTTCGATATCTATCATTTTCATCTTCATCAATGTTCAATGTAGTTATGTTATCGAATGCATAAACTTCTTAATTCTGGTTTGGTTTGGTAGCTTTGGCTCCGTTATCCACAAACCTGGCTCCTGTACACCAATTCAAACAATTTGATAAGACAAATCAATACGGTGGCTCTTCGATAATTTGATAAGCATACAAGCCTCGAACGAACAGGATATTAGGTTAGTCGGTAGATTGGTTTGGAGGAGCAACATCATCTAATGATTTATGTCAAAAGGAATTAATAAAACATTGAAACTCGTAAAAGAATATCGGTTGTATAATAATCAAAATGGTTTATGGATTTGGATTATAAGAGTAGGTGGGTTTATACTTTCTGGTGTCTGAATTTACGGGCAAATACTGTTGTATCGACGACTTTGAGTTTCAGGCGGCTAGTCGATGCAGAAAAAAAACTACTTAAGTATAGGTCAAGATAGTATCCTATTGTCTCTCACTAGGGCCCAACAGCACACCCTACTGGCTAGATTCAACTCCACATCCACATATCTGAGAAGTATAATAAATAGATATCTCCAGTCCGCCTAGCAGCACGGTCACAGCGCTGCAGCGTATTATTGGAGCAAGTACAACTTTATGATATTGATGCGTACCACAAACCTAAGAACGTGTTCACGTATATATACAAACTGAGTAGAATCAGTTAAAAAGATACTATACTAAGGATTTTTAGGTGATTCTTGGAAAGCTGTGAAATCAATGTCCTCGGGGAAACTCTCACTATGCGGGAGGTGATAGAATGCATTCTCATTCTGCGCCATCATAACGTCGTGCGACTGATCATTTTCTACTTGCTGGTGGTTCTGATCAATACCCAGAAAGTCGAGGAGACTACCCAGGCTACCGACAAAATCTTCAAATGGGTTGCCATCTCTATCCACTGGAATTTCAGATACACCCCCTGGCGAAATAGAAGCGTGATTAGACCCCCCAAGTGCACTACGTATCTCAGGCGGAGTATCTGGCAGCCAGAAATCGAATATATCAGCCACTTCCGGGGTATCTAGTAGCCAGAAATCGGACCCATTAGCGCCTCCATCTGTCTCCTCTGCAGACGAGAGATGTGTGGAAGAATCGGTATATGGGTCATCGCTATCCTCCCATTCGAATTCTTCGGACTCTTCGGGCTCTTCGGATTCTTCTGTAATAAAAAATTAGCCATCTACGTGTCGAAATGTTTCTTTAGTTTTGTATGTTTGGAACTCACCCGAGACTACAGATACTGTCTCACCGCGCCGAAGTCGACTTTGCAAAACGGGACCTTCATTCCATCCAAGTGTTCTCAGGTCTGTTCCCCTAATCCTCCATCCTGAGGTAGTGATGTCTTTTATCAAAAATTGCCCTGGTCTTGGACGAAAGCGGGCAAGCAAAGTGGATGCATAGTCTCGATATGGATCGTTCCAGTCAAAATCTATTTCCTTCCAATACCTAATGTTTCTTACCCGAACCTTCTGCAACTGTTGCTTATCAAATACATTGGGATCGAAAGCTAGAATCATCAAAAGACTGTGATTGTTGCATATTCCAAGTTGCGGGGAGGCATTGTTGTAAAGGGCTATGAAGCTCGGAACAGGTGTATTCCCAGTTCTAGCTCGGACGAGAACGTCGCGAGGGCCCTTCTCGATATTAAGGTCTATTGGTAGGCGATTGCAATTCTCCTGCCCTGCGATGCGGGCGAGGAAGGCAAAATGGTATTCGTACCCATTTAGCTTGGTGTCATCATCAGTGAATGCAATATCATAGGCGAAAGAGAAGCGAAAGTAGAAGGTAGCTAAGAGAACTGTGGTGGCTGAGATGGTTCGCAGCATGCTGCCAGGCTTTGACCAATATCCAATTAAGAACCATCAATTTAAGGATTTATGAGTTCATGGAGAAAATTCCTTGCGATGGGTATACGGCAATCCTCATCTTCGTACATGGGGAACAAGCCGCATCCTCTTCCATATTCGTAAGTATCTAGCTATGTAATATTAATATTAATCCTAGACTCAAATATTCTCTAAATTGCTCTTGACTTATTGATTCTACCAAGAGTTTCACACACCCCAGGTGCGCATACATACAAGGAAACTCTCCTTGTTAGGCGTAGGTTCCGCGCGCGCTCGAGTTTATATCCTTATGTGAGCTCTGATTCTCTGCTGCTATTATCCGTATATTTCTGGCTACCTCAAACTAGAATTCTTAAACCGGGGGTCACCAAACTTTTGTTGTTTGATTTTTAATGCTTTTCATTGATACTCGAAATTATCCGGATATATATAGACTACGACAGCTAAATATTATTTTATTTAGTATCTTTATTGCCCACGGGGCGAGGACATCTGTAATAAAAAGTCATAACCACGATTCCCATCCCCAGCATCCCAATCATCATCGGAAGAACTCTCAGAATAATCATCATTTGATGATAAAGCTAGAGCACCATCGTAATTATAAACTCTAACTTTATAGTTGGGCTTGATATAAACCATCGTCTCCAGGTTAAGATTCAAAACCTCTCCTGGCTCGAGTCCAGCTCCTTCAATAAGCTGAGTAGCAGGGTCATCCGGCATGAAATCCGGATATATTTCCCTCCACAACTTAACATACGAAGGCAAAGTGGTTTTTATACTTTGCATCTTGCCAGGCTCGTCGTAGTAGGCGAAAACATGTAGTATCTTATCTCCTTTGCATGGGGGATCTGTTGGGATTCCACTCGCGCCATATAGTGCGATATATGGAGGAACCTTTCTGTCGGTGAGTGAAGTAGAAGAGCGAACCCAGACATCATTTATATCTTCGTCTGGGAGCAGAAAACAGGGGGGGTCGGTCTTGTCTACAGAATTTGTAGAGGTTTCCCAAGGAATTTCTATGATTTCATCCGACCCGCCGAAAGCAATTTGATATGCCCAGGCCCAATGAGCAATAGTCAACAAGGAAAAGAGTAACGCCGAATAAGCTATCATCTTGAGGCCCGCCAGGCGTAGACGATGTTCTGGTCGCAGGATTACCTAGCTTTGAAAACTAAATTAGGAGACTTCAATTGTACGGTTTACTTTTACCCTAGCTCTCAAATACCAAATATAATGAATCTATCTCTAACATTCGCAGCTTGTTATATTTGCTGAAACTTTGGTATTTGAGAATATTTGCGAAAAGCTTAACACTTGTTTACGATATCGATAGAAAGTCCATCTCCCTAATGCTGGTTGCTTAATTAATTATGCTTTATGAACCATGGTGACATGCATGTGCACATTTATACGCCTTACCCTATAATTTTAGACACTATTATTCACGATATTTGACTTCAACATTATACTTTCTCTAGGTTGGAATAGACGGAAGGGACCCAGATATTATCTCTTCTGAATGCTTAAATTGAGGCTGGATATATTGATGATCAGCAGGAAATTAAAAAATCCGCAGTATTATGATATTAGAGTGAATCTGAATGAAAGCTATTCAAGGATATTAAAACACCTACGTCCCGATCGATTATTATGTCCACCATGCCATACTCGGTTTAGATAAGAACTATGCACATTCTTTCGAGCCTGCTATATCTTTAAAATTAAGCTATAAGTAGAAATACTGAGAGTCGAAATCAGGATTCGAATTTAATATTATAGCATTAACTCTAGGATCGCTAGACTCATCAGGATAAACAGATGGACTTCCAGGCTCACGTAGTAGTGGTAGCATGGGAGATAGTGAGTCCATAGGTTGAAACTCACTAGGGAGAGCCGACGATGTTAGCCCCGCCAAAATTGGATCGTATTCCGTTTCTTTCAAATTCACCCGAATCTTCTCTCCTGGCGATAGTTCATCCGGAATCTCGCTGATAGACTCGTCTTTTTCCGCACTTTCTCGAAGTCTCTCCCCCAGGTAGTTTGGAGTCGGATCTTGAATTCGATGTCCCCTTTGAGGCCGCAATACATCCCATCCAAAATCATCAGGGGATTGGGACCTTGATTGCGATTGTGAGAATCCTGATGGCATTTGTACCTTTGGTAGCTGTGGGTTCGGAACACGGAGCTTATTCAAGCCTATTGTGCCAGGATTCGTAGAAGGGATCCGGAGAGGTGAGCGTTCCGGGTTATTCCTAGACAATCTGAACCCTGGTGAACCCTTTTCGAAAGCATCACGTTGTTCAGTCATTTCTGTTAAGGAGTTCTTGTATCTTATCGGCTGCCCTCCACATCTCAAGGGGTCTTTCCGCTGCTGCGGAACTACCAAATTCTCTTCTGCCCCTGCCCAATCCCTTCGTGTCTGCGGATCTGATAGCCAACCCGGCAACTGATCATCGTCGTCTCCTAGTCGAGGCCTTACTAGCACAGAATCCGGGCTGTTTGGAAATTGCCGTTCTAGAGTCCCAAGCCTCATGTTCAAGTTCTCAAATCTTGATGGTTGTATGAGAGGCTCAGGTCGCACACCCACACCCTTTTGATAGATATCAAATGTCTTGGTTAGTGGTCTCCCCCACTCCCTTGCTCGGTACACCATTATTTCGTTCGGTAAACGACTCCACTGTCCATCCTTCCCCTTATACAGAACGTCACCTTC